AAATTCCCTAAGCTCCATGGAGAGGAACCAAATAGAGAGTTTCAGTTTGGGCTCTCTCTCCATCCAATATTGGGCTGTGGGTTTCTGCATGTCGTCCCATTAGCTGTTGGCTTTAGTCGCACCAATCTGAGTATAGCAGAATATTGATGGAATCATTTCATCGACTTATTTTTTTAATTATAGATCTCGGCCTAGATGAAACACCCATGGTCACATGATTGAAGAAAACCTACTCCTTTTGAGCAGCCATTATAAGCCAAGGGTGGGATTACATGCTCACCTCCCCAGTGTTTACATAAATTTTAAAGGAGAAGTGTAAAGAGAAGGATTCTGTCTTTCTTTTTTCTCTCAAAAGATAAGTTCCTCCTGTTATGTACAGAATTCACAGGACATGGTATGTAGGAAATTATTAGATGAGATTGAGAGCATTATCTCAGATATGAACACTTGAAAGTGAATTCCATATGGTCAGCAATTTTTTTTGTATGTTTGTTTAATCTTTGTGTTCATGTATAGAATAATCTGTTACATGATATTTGTTCCTTAAGCAATTTTTAATACATGAACTAATAAAATATATTAAATATTTTAAGATAGATATACTTTCTTTTAAATGAACTTTAGCATACTTTTAAATTTTCCAATTTTTTTATTGGCATATTACTTGTACCAAAATCTTTATCATGGAGTTTTCATACATGTGTACAATGGACTTTGATTCTATATGCCTTCATTTTCTTATTTTTTTCCCTTTCTGATGTTTCTGTTCTCCCTCTTCCTCCCAAAACACTTTAAAAAAAGATTTTACATATGAATGAATACATGCAGTTCTGAGTTTAGCTTGTTTCTCTTTATTGTTTGCTCTCCTGTTTTATTAATTTTACTCGGTTATGTATATTTACCATATTCCATTTACCTACTGATTCATTGATAGGCAGTCAGGCTGATTCTTGTGGCTATTGTGAATAGTAACTACAGGATATGAAGATATTCCTATTTTATACAGACTGCGTTTTCATTTTTACCTAAGAGTGCTATAAAATGATCTATTCTATTTGGAGTTTTGGGGGAAGTTTTTTACTGAATTCCAGAGGGGACTTGCTAATTTACCGTCCTTCCAACAGTGTTTAAAGGTTTCTTTTTTTTTAATTTTAATCAATGTTTTTGAAAATTTCATAACTTACAAGTATATTTTGATCATTCATTTTCCCAACTACCTCTGTCCAAATTTGAATGGTAATCTATAGCCCAATCCCCTCTCCTCTTATGGCCTTTTTTATTATCATTATCAATAATTTCCTGAGTCTAGTTAGTATGCAGCATATGCATGCTAGGTACTGGGCAGACTACCGTGGACACTTTCCGTTTGCTGCATCTCCACCAACTTTTGTTGTTTTTGTCTTCTTGATGCTAGCCATTCTGACTATGGGGTAGAAATTAATGGTAGTTTTGATTTTAATTACCTTTATGAATAAGAATTGAGCATTTTCTCTCATTAGTTTACATGAGTATTGTCCAGCTCGTTTGCACATTGATTAGGTTATTATTTCAGTGTTGATTTTTTTTAGTTTATTGTATTTTCTGGATACTAATTCTCTGTGAGATGAATTTCTTGCAAAACTTTCTCTCATTCTCCCAAATTTTCTGACCATTTCTTTTCTATGTAGCTTTGTAATTTTGTGTACTTCCTCCCAATTCTTGCAGTTGTGTCTTGAGCCTTTGGAGCCCTGTTTTTTAAGCCTCTAATTTGAAGTGTTTTCTCTATACATTCTTCTAGCAGTTTCATTTTTTTTTATTCCATTTTGAATATATCTTTGTTGGGAGAGAGAGAGAGGAATCTAGTTTCACATTTATACCTCTGAATGTCAGGTTTCCTAAGCACTATTTGTTGAGATGACAATCCTTAGAATATTTTTAACTTAATATGTTTTTGCTGCATGGTTTTTATTTTTCTCCTTTATGTTTTCATGTAATCGTATTAAACTTAACAAGTTCCACTGGCTCTCAATCCTAGATGAAGAACTACAGGCAGCTAAGAAATGATGAGAGCAGGAAATTCGCTCCTCGAGGTATATCACTGCATTTGGTTATGTAATACTGAGTAGCCAGCCCTAAAATCATTTACATGCAAATAACATTATACAGACTGAAGAACTTGTATTTATATATTTAAAAGTGCTCGAATGTGCGCTCGTGTGTGTGTGTGTGTGTGTGTGTGTGTGTGTGTGTGTGTGCGTGTGACAGCAATTAAAGAAAACGAGGCTATGAATTTGAGAGAAGGGGGTATATGGGAGGTGTTGGAGAGAGGAAGGGGAAGGAAGTGCATAATGTAATTGTATTTTAACTTCAGAATATATTAATTAAAACATTACAACAGATTGAAGGCTGGGTATATTGGCACACAGATTTATTTCTTGCATTTATAAGGCTAAGGCAGTTTCCAAATGGATACTTGCAAATTGTAGCTTATACACATGCACACACACAAATAAAAATAAATCTTGAAAAAGAGTATCAGAACTAGACATAAATGTGACTATAATTATGATGCCTGAGTGGGCAGAAGTTGAATCTCTAGGACTCTTAAGTCACTAGAATTATACCAGGCATTATGAGAAACAACTGAAAGTATTTTTCTGTTAATGAAACTTGTTGCATGAATGTATTGGTCTTATAATAAAACCCAGAGCCAGATATTGCGGTAAATGCTGAAAGATCAGAGGAAACAAGCCAAGCCACTTCTCACCTCACTTACTCCTCAGCTGAAAGGGGAAGATCCTGTCTCCATGAATCCTCAGAGTGAATGCCCCCGAGTCCTCAGCCAAAAAGACTGAGTTTCTGTCTCCTCCCGCCTTATATGCCTTTCTCTGCCCAGCCATATCGTTTCCTCTCTCAAGTTTCCTAGTGCTGGGATTAATGGTATGTGTGCTTCAAATACTGGGAGCAAAGGCATGAGATCACAAGTGCTGGGATTAAGGGTGTGTGCCACCACTGCCTGGCTCTGTTTCTCTTTTAAACTGGATTAATCTCATATAGTCCAGGGTGGCTTTGAACTCACAGAGATCTAGACGGATCTCTGCCTTCTGTGTGCTAGGATTAAAGGTGTGTGTCACCACTGCCTGACCTCTATGTTTAATCTAGTGGCTGGCTCTGTCCTCTGATATTCAGGCAAATTTTATTTGTTAAGAGTACAAAAACAAAATATCATCAAGGAAACCGTTTAAAAAACACTTCCCTCAGCCCTGGGACCTGCGTCAACAGGTAAAGTACCTGTTGCTTTCTCATGAGGACTTGAGGCATGGGCCTTATCACCCATGTGGAAAATCCGTGTGTAGCCTCACACATCGGTAACCCCAATACTCGGCAATAGACAAGAGGATTTTTTGTGAGTCAGGCCTAAATGGTGAGCTATAGGTTCAGTGATAGAGCCTGTCTCAGAGACTAGCTGGAGAATGATGAGGACAGCAGGTGTACCTGGTGGCCTCACATGTGCATAAGGCACATGCACCTGCACAGAATGAATGGGTTGTTGAAGTTTACATCTCTAACCTTGTTTTTTTTATAGATGATGGTTGAAAATTTAGCTCTTACTTATATATAAAAAAAAGCATATAAAGAAAAATGTAAAAGTAACTCCAGAACTGGTAAATCCTACAGGGACTCAAAGAAAGGCAAGCATCAGTCTTTACTTAAGACTGATACTGCCCAGAGTACAATTGGCGTGGTCATTATTCAGATTTTATTTAGGCTGCCATATTTTTGTCTGGAAGGTCTTCTCATAGCAGATATCCCAGTATCTGTTCTCTCTCAGTCTTTTCCCTTTCATTCTTGGTGTTTCCTGCTGTAGATGTACCACTTGGGGCTGAGGACCCTGAAGACACTCATTCTCTGCAGCTTTGCTAGTTGTGGATCTTTGTAGTAGCCACTGTTCACTTCAAAACCAAGCTTCTTTGGCGGGGACTGAGAACTGTACTCATCTTTGGGAATAAGAAAAGGCATTTCATGTACAGTTAGAAGCTGTATTGATTTAGGAAAACAGTAGTGGTTGGTCCTACCCTAGGGCTTGTGTCTTTGCCAGGCATTGATAATTGGCCGTTTTACAGTACCAGGCATCAGTTCTTTCCTACTGAGTACAGCTTAAATCTAATTAGATGGCTATTGGTTATCCCCATGATAAAAATGGCACTGTTGCACCTTTAGGGTTATTTTGGCAGGCCAATTATTGTTTTGCTTTGCAGGCTTTTTAGTTGTGTAGAACTATTGATTACATTTGTCTGTTGTCAGAGTGCATGGTACTTTCTGATACCATGAGTGCTAATCACAGAGGGGAAGCTTCGAGGTCAGTACTGGGCCAGTTCCTCCAGGTCTGTGTTGGAAGTGTATGCTGTCTTAGAAATAGTATCTTCCTCTGAAGTTGTAGAGGTGTAGCCAAGGCCAATGGAAGGATCTCATATTGTTTGGTGGCTCTCTAGGACCATTGTCCAACAGCTTGTATGTTTCCCTTGCCTGGTACATTGGTTAAGTAATCTATGGTTCCTGCAGGGAGCATTATCACCCATGTGGCATGCATCCATTAAACACACACACACACACACACACACACACACACACACACACACACACACGGTTCCTAGTGCTGGATACTTGGATTTGAGTACCTACACTGGCATAACTACAGAAGTTGGGAAAGTATAGGGTGTAATGATGGGAGAGGAAGAGAAAGAGCTTAGGAGATGAGATTGAAGGACATGAGTGCTTCCAAAGGGCCAAGGGGAAATGCAGAGTTGGTTCACTAGGGAAGGGAGAGAATGAGGGACAGGAGAGAGAGGAAAGGGGTGAATAGCACTAGAGGGACTTAAAAAAGCCACAGGGAAACATTTTGACTTTAATATTATTTTTTTCAAATTCCTGTTATATTTGATAAAGTAGTAGTAACAGCTAAATACATATTTGCTAATAGAAACTTTTTATTTCATCACTTTTATTAATCTTTCGCATAGTTTCTGAATCGGAGATTTCCCAAGAAGCTGATGACATGGCTATGGAGAAAGAAAAATATGTTGAGGAACTGAGAAAAGCATTGATGTCAGGATCAGGAACAGCAGACACCTACAGGTTCATCTTTTCTAAAGAGTCCTGCCATTTCTCCCTTGAGAAAGAACTGAAAGATGTCTCAGTAAGTAAACCTTTCCACAGTTTGTTTTTATTGATGAATTTTGTTTCACATTTAAGTAGCAAGGCTATGATTCTTGGAGCACTTCTCAAATGAATACCAAGAAATTATTTAGTATCCTCGTTAATATACTTCAATTAAAAAAAGAAATCATATATGTAAAATGTGTTTCTGTGTGTGTGATTTCTATATGTGTGCATGCATCTGTGTGTGCATGTGTGCATATGTGTACGTGAGTGTGTGTGTATATGTGTGTGTGCATATGTGTACATGAGTGTCCGTGTGTTTGTGTGCATGTGAGTACATGAGTGTCCATGTGTATGTGTGTGTGCTTGAGTATGTGTTTCTGTGTGTGTGTATGTACTGCATCACACATGTGAGAGTCAGAGGACAATTTTCAGGAGTCAGTTCTCTCCTTTCACAAGGCTCTGGGGATGAACTCAGGCCTTGGCTTTGTCAGCAAGTTCTTTTACCCACAGAGCCATCTCAGCAGCTCACAAGCTTCACACTTCAAGTTTATGACATAGTTCTTTTTTTTTTTTTTTTTTTTGGTTTTTCAAGATAGGGTTTCTCTGGGTAGCTTTGTGCCTTCCCTGGATCTCGCTCTGTAGACCAGGCTGGCCTTGAACTCACAAAGATCCACCTGCCTCTGCCTCCCGAGTGCTGGGATTAAAGGCATGTGCCACCACCGCCCGGCCGACATAGTTCTTCTTATACACTGGAAAGGAAATATCAGGGAATGTATTTACTCTTCAATATTTAAATCATTTTAAATGAACAGTTTTGAAATATTGAGATAAAGAGTTTTAGACCATTGCAGCCTTGTTTGCTCAAAATAAATATGGGAAAATATAGAATTTTAGAAAGAAAGCAATGAATTTACCTTTGGCTATTTAATAACTGATTTGTTTTCTTAGAGTATATTTGAAAATTTATTTTATTATCATTGTTTTAATGCTTTTTAATTTTTTATTTTATGTGTCTTGGTACTTTGCCTGCATGTGTGTCTGTGTCAGGGTTTCAGATCCCCTGGAACTGGAATTATAGACAATTGTGAGCTGCCATGTGGGTGCTGGGAATTGAACCTGAGTCTTCTGGAAGAGCAGCCAGTGCTTTTAATCACTGAGTCATGTCTTCAGACCCTTATATTTGAAATTTTAAAACAACATAGTTAAGTGTAGTAATACATATATATATATATATATATATATATACACACAAACACATATATATATACATACATATAATTAATAACTAAGGAAACATTATCTATATTGTCATACTTAAAAATAATGGAGTAGAGGTAACTATGTGTCCAAATTTCCAGAGATCACATGCCCTCTAGACACATGCAGCTGCTGGTTGGCTCACTTTCTGCACAGTTCTGACTAAGGTTCTGGCTGCTTTGTTAAAGGCTGTGCTTACTATCTTTACATCTTACCCAAATTAATTAGACATTGAATTGGCTGTCACTGTTGGTTTATTAATCATATGAGATCTTAAGAAAGGGGAAACTTACTTCATTATGTTCATTGATAGTGCTGAAGGATTTGGTGGTTTTTTTTTTTTTTTTAGCTAAATCTAATTTTTAAATACTTGTAAAGCAACGTTTTAAACTCAGAAGAGTAAAGGAGATTTTTATCAATCTGAAAACTATCTGAAGAAATAAATAAAATTATTATTTTCAAATAAATGTTATTGTGGGGAATAATGTAGAATGAATGGCTTCTGTAATTTCAGTTTAGAAGATACCTATTCACATTAGCTGTCAATTCAATTCATATTTTTCATTATGTTACAATTATTAAAATAATTACTTAAAAATAGGTGAAGGAGATCTGAACTGACAGCTACAGTTTTATTAATTGTGTTTTTTTCTGTGGTTCAAGCTCAATCAGATGATTCTAAACATATTAAAACTGCTGCCTGTTTCTTCTTGTATTAAGAAGTGGAATAGGAATAGAGCAAATTTAGAGGAATAGTATTTCCTATTCAACAGGCGTTTGTTTTAAACAAGTAGTGTTATTCTGTGATGATGTATGCCAAGCTTGTGAGAAGCTTTTGGTACCTGTGCTATGGTGAGAGGCTGGGGTTCAGCAGATGCTGAGCTGGAGGACTTGCCCTGGCTGCTTGGTAGTGAGTCAGGTTTTGCTGATTCTCTGAAGTAAAGCCTTTCATTCCTCATGACTTTCGTCATTTACTGTTTGCTTGCTGTGTATAAGGATTGAAGACAGCAGTAATCCTGAAAATGCCTTGTTTTCCATCCTGAAATTAATCACTCTTTATCAAACCCAAGGCCTTGAGCACTATCTTTTCAACTGATGTTTTGTTTGCTTTGTTTTTGTTTTTAGTTTTGGTTTTTCTTTTTGTAATATCCCTGGCTGTCCTGGAACTCACTCTGTAGTCCAGGCTGGCCTTAAACTCACAGCGAACCACCTGCTTCTGCCTCCTAAGTGGTGGGATTAAAGGTGAGCACCACCATGCCTGGCTTCAGCTGATTTTTAATAGTGATTAAACAGCATAAAAATACCCAGGAATTCAGAAGAGTGTTGAGTTCCTCAACAGACTGCCTTCAACCGTCACACTGCAGTTTAAATGGCTGTCCTGTCATTTATTCATTGTTTATTTGTCCATACATTTATTCATGCCTGGCTTGCTTGAGAGAGATTTTTAGATATTTAAATGAGGTAAAACTTTCTGTGCTAAGGTCAGCTAAGGATGCAGTTTGAAACATTGACAAGCTTATTCAGTCAAACCTCCTTGGGAATCTCCTAGTATGCCATGTGTTTCTGCAGACTGATTTCAGAGTGATACCGTCTTATAAATTCATCTGCTGGCCCAACTGTGCTGACAGTTGCCCACGTGGCAGAACACTCTAAGGCTCATTGCACTGGGATGACCCACACATTGTAGAGGGTTTGTGATGGTTTCCTCAGTGACACAGAGAACTGACAATTGCCAAAAAAAAAAAAAAGCTCCTCAACTTAGAAAAATGGGAAAGAATGTACAGATTCAATTCAGAAAGCTGTACTCAATTCTGTTGTGTTTTCACATAATCCTGTTCCCATGGCAAAGGGACCTTCGTGAGTCCCAAGTGCATTTGCTTCCAGACTGCCCCCCTGGCAGTCACAGTTTGAGGCATTTCTTGCCATCATTCAAAAGTTTCATGTGCCAAATGGTGTTTTTAGGATCTTTGTACAACTGGGTAATTTGGAATATATGAATTATGTAAAGGTTGTATGAAATTTATATTTTTACTTCCCCCTTTAAAAATAGGAAAATACTATTAATATTTCCATCTAAAAGGACCCTTTTAAAGAAAGATTTACTCATATTTTTTCCTGAGTATTAGAATTTTCAATTTCCAGTGTAGTAAGGAGATACTTAGATACATAATTTGTTTGGTGATGTTTGGGTTTTAGGAAAGAATGGGTTCATAGTTTTTATGAGATTAGCTTTGAATTTATAAGTAATTCCTTAAATATGGGTATATTCAGATTATGTTTTCTTAACAAGTAAGTATTTTTATTTAATTTTAATACTCACTGGAATAAATATTACATGACCAGCTAGACACTAATACCATTTCTCCATAGTATGAACCTCACCACTAAGAACTCTATAACAGCAAGCTGATGTGCACTCTGGTGTCAGCATTGGGAGTTGATCATGCTGTTATCTTTACAAAACGTGCCTCTGCCAGATTATTCCTTCAACTTTTTACACTTCATGCTGATTTTGTGGTAGACACTGGGTCATTTTGACATGGTACTATTACTTTGCTTTGAGTAGATTTTTTTTTTTGGAAATAAATCACAACTAAATGTACTTTTAAATAATTCTTCTCTCACACAGTACATCCCAATAGCAGTTTCCTCTCTTATCCTCTCCAATCCTAGTCCCCACCTCCATCTCCCTTCTCTCCCAGATCTACTCCTCCTCTGTTTCCCTTCAGAAAAGAGCAGGCCTCCCAGGGTTATCAACTGAATATGGCATAACAAGTTACAGTAAGACTCGGCACAAACCTTCATGTCAAGACTAGATGAGGCAACCCAGTAGGAGGTCACGGATCCCAAGAGCAGGCAAAAGAGTGAGAGACACCCCAATTCCTACTGTTAGGAGGCCCACAAGAACACCAGGCTAGCAACCATGACATAAATGCTGAAGATGTAGTACAGACCCACGCAAGCTCTGTGATTGCTGTTTTAGTCCTGTGAGCCCCTGTGAACCTTGCTTAGTTGATTCTGTGGGCCTTGTTCTTATGGTGTTCTTGACCCCTCTTGTTCCCACTCTTCTTCCTCCCCATCTTCTGTGGGGTTCCCCATGCTCCACCTAATGTTTGACCATCAGTTTCTGCATCTGCTCTCATCAATTGCTGGATGAAGCCTCTCTGATGACAATTGGGCTAGGCACCAATCTATGAGTATAGCATATTAGGAATCATTTCATTGTTTTTTTGTTTTTTTTTTTTTTTTTTTTTTTGCCAGTCTTGTTTGGTTCTATTCTAGGTCTGTGGGCCATCCAGCCTCTAGTACCTGGCCATCATTGGTTGGCCACTCTCACAGTTGTGCACAACCATTACCTCAGCATATCTTGCAGGCAGGACAAATTGTAGGTCGAAGGTTTTGTGACTGGGTTGATGCGTCCCAGACCCACTACTGGAAGCCTTGCCTGGTTACAGGAGATGGCTGGTTCAGATTCTGTAGTCTCCATTACTAGGAGTCCTTTCTAGGGTCACCCTCATAATTTCCTGGGAGTTTCCACTGCACTAGGTTTACACATCGACTCTCAAATGCCCTCCAATTCCAGTCATTTCTTGCCTTATTTTTTCTTTACACCCATACCCTCACCTGATTCCATTCCCTGTTCCCATTTCTACCAACTCCAAAGTCCACCAGCAAAATCTATTCTACTTCTCCTTCCTAGGGATCCATGTGTCCTGCCTTGAGCCCTTCTTGTTACTTAGCCTCTCTGGGTCTGTGGATCGTAGACTGATTATTCTT